TCCTAGAGAGACGAATAAGAGAAGTGAGTTCCAGCCTCTCATGCCCTTCTTTTTGTTCTCAGCATCAGGACAGAGCCAAGGGGAAAAGGGAAAGCGTAACATTTCAAGGCAGGTTTCAGCCTATTCGAACTGAGGTCTCCAAGGATGACAAATCCTCTTCCTTCCATGGGGTCTCAGGTCCATGAGTTCTGAGAATGTCAGTTGCTAGATACCGTCTCCCTGAGAAAACAGAGCCCTCAGAGGATTTGCTCTCAAAAGCAATCAGACTTGAGACACTTCTCAGAGTCTCTGCTCTGTATGGGTGTGAAGGAATAATGGTCCTAGGCAAAAGGTGTTGTTCAATAGGAAACCATCTGAGACATGGAGGAGGGACTGTCTCCCAACTGCATAAATGCTTTGACTTCCTGGGTACTCAGATTCCTTTGTGGTAAGCCCCGAATTCTCTCACCTAACCTAATGACCTTCTCAATTGATTTACTGTCACCCCCACCACTGAGTGATTCTCTGCCACCAGGGTCTATTCCTCCCTTGGATTCTAAAGTCCCCCTGGATCATCCCTACTCCAACCATTTGACCTTCCCCCTCTCCGACTGCACTCAGAGAGAATATCCCGATCTTCAATCAGAGGCTACTTTGTTTATGAAAACCGTCTACTCCATTTTCCCAAGATCTCCATTTTCCCAAGATCTCAACCCACAACCAGATGTTTCTCAGACAAGTCACCCGATTCACATGCTATTCATCACATACCACTAGCTTCATCTGCTTCACCACTGCCAGACTGCACTATGACTCAATCTAAATTGAGTCCCATCTTAATGAAGTCTGTGTCAGAAAAGTCCTCTCCAGAAAGCCCTCATGTGTCTTCCACTTATGTCCCCACAATCAGAGGCACTGACCATTCAATTTCAGAATTCTCATGGTGGCAGGCTCACACCAGAAACATGTTCATCCTCAGGATACCACATCCTAATTTTCAGCAGGAGCATGTTTCTCTCCATTGACCACAGACCTGTCTTTGGGGAGACTCTGATATCAAGCACGTGGAGGCCAGTAGTCTTTCTTTTTTTTGAACTTAATATACAGAAGTGACAAACAAAAAAGACAATGGTTTCCAGATTTTGGAGAAGAAAGACAAAAAGGAGGGGTCATTTTCAAAATATATGGCGTTCGATTGCCAACTGACATCTTCAGATAATCCATTGTAGTCACCTGTGGATGACAACAGGATGATACACCCACCCAATCTGGTTGGAACACCAATGGCACACCAAAACAGTTACGCATTTGTCAGCAGGCCCTATATGTCAAGACTTTGGATGGAAACTTACAAAATAAATACAATCAGCTCTTCTGGGGGATTCTTTCTCTGGTCTCTAGAAGGAGTTCCCCACTACAGTCTTGGTTTGTTTTATTCAATGAAATCTCTAATGCTCCTGCAGTCCAAACGCAGGATCAGGAATCTCCACCACTTCTTAAGTCCAACCCTCTTCCCCTCAGCCATGTATATCCCCATCCCTTTCTTCCCCAGCCCCATTTCTACCTCCCACCCAGATCCACCCACAGGCTCACTGCCAATCCTCATCCCCTATCCCACCATCATCTTCTCAACCCCAGATTAATGCCTATGGGACATCTTTGCAGAGACTCCAGAATGAGGTTGACTCTCACTTCTCAAACGAAAATCAACATTTGGGAAGGCATGTGTTGCAGAAAAAGCAAGACTTGGGGTTTAGTACTTTTGCTCCAAAAATCTCTTGAAGCCTTTTGTCTTCCAGCTCCCAATCCTTCATTGACCAGCCAGTCCTCCTAGGCCTATGTTCCAGTGTTCGTGTTTCCTGGGCATTTTCATCTCAGCAGTGAACCCCAGAAGAAACTAGAGCTTCATGTAGCAAAGAAGCCAGTCCCATGCTGGTGCCTTCATACTTGTAGGAATCCAGGATCTCTGTGCAAATCAACAGAAATGTTGTTGAATAATTACAGACAGACCCTCTCACAACCCTCTGAGCTTCAGAGCCACAGTAGCAAAGATCCAAGGAAGACAGAATTGAGTCTCCCAGGAAGTTTTCATGAGTGGGATCCACCAAAATTTCACCTAAGGAAGGACATGGCAAGAAATCTTGGCATATCCTAGGGAAATGTTCATTAGACAACCCACCGACAGTCTCAAAATTCTACCTGCTGAATGGTCTGGGGTTGCCTCTGATCAAAAAGTGACTGGTTGGGTCACTCAAGGAATGACACAGGGGATGAATTACTAAGGATATTAAGGAGGAGCTTAGACCTACATCAAATGAAAACCATTCTTACAATACATCTGAGCAGGAATGCTTGGCAAATTAATTCAAATAGGATGCCTATAGGTGTGTCATTCGTGGCTGGCTAACAACACATTGCCTCCTGGGAGTTCTCATGCCAATGCAGAAAAGAAAAATTTGACACCACTGGTACATGGGGTCTATTGCAAGATAACACTGTGGAGTTTCCTTTCTAAATTCCCAAACTCATCAGGTGCTAGGAGCCCATAGGGCAAGTCAGAAGTGGGGCCTGCCCCTCAGGGTTCTTAAATCCATAATATTCTATATGTTAATAGAAGCCAGAACGTGACCTCTCCTGCAACTTGACTCTCCTTTGTCTGCCGGTTATATTTCTAGCGTGGTTTCCAAAGCTGTGACTTTTAAGCTCCTTGAGGGAAGTTCTCCAGCTTTGCTGAGTTAGGAAGGACAAATTCAGTTCCCAGTCTGGACTGTCCTCTCCCTGTCACCTCAACTGTGAACACAGAAGGACAGGAGGTCCTGACACAGTTACCCTCGGATACTGACCATAAACTAACAAAGAATGTCCAGACACTTGGGGGTGACAGACAGACTTCTCTGCCCTGCATACACAGCATCACAGACATCATCTTTTCTTTATTCTATTGGCTAGAAGCAAATTGCTATGTGCATTCCAAATTTAAAGGGAGGATAGTTAGTTACACAAGAGTGTGAATACAGGCCGGGTTTGGTGGCTCAGCCTGTAATCCCAGCACTTTGGGAGGCCGAGGTGAGTGGATTGCCTGAGCCCACGGGTTCGAGACCCGCCTGGGCATCTTGACAAGACCTCATCTCTACAATAATAAAAAAAAAAATCAGCTGGGCATGGTAGCACGCGCCTGTAGTTCCAGCTACTTGGAAGGCTGAGGCGGAAGGATCACCGGAGCCCAGCAGGTCGAGGCTGCGGTGGCCAGAAGTGGCCACTGCGCTCCAGTCTGGGCAACAGAGTGAGACTCCAACTCAAAAAACAAAACAAAAACAAAAAAGAGTGTGAATACAGATAGTAGGTCATTGGAGCCTTCTCAGAAAATTTCTTAACACAAGGCTCCCGGATGCCCCACTCAGTTCAGTGAAGACAAAGGGGCCATAGGTGCCAAATGGATCCTCATCCTCATCCATATCCCTGTCATCAAGGCCAAAGTTGTCTAATAGCCTGAGTGAAGTGGCAGCTGGTGAAAAAAAATGTCAAAAAGGTTGGAATATCGAAAAAAAAAAAAAAAGAATATCAAAGAGGTGCAGCATTCAAATATAAAGAGAAAGTTGATGTGAAGGTAAAAGCAATGAATGGCAAAGTGAAAGGGTTCCTTAGAGCCAACTGACATACCACAGCCAATACTCAGATTTAGAGGAGGGGCAAAATTAGGTACAGATAGTCTTTGAGTAATACTGGCCTCAGGTAGCAGGCTCAATGTCATCAGGATTCATTTTTCTATCCATTTCTTCGTTCCATATTCTGGGTTGGCTTCATGTAAGACTCTGCATCTGGCAAGTTCACCGCTACGTTCGCCAAGCTTCATGTGCAGTTAAACATGGGTTGCCTCTCCCATCAGAACCTTCAAAAGCCCCATTGTACTTAATTGCCTTCAACTGGGGGGCCATGCCCATTCCTACCCAGTCCTTGTTGCCCAAAACATAGAATGATCTCTTTTGGCCAGATCTGAGTTTCATACCCTCCTCAAAATAATTGAGAGTTAGAAAAACAACTCTACTTGCACACGGACTGAAACTAAGCGTGAGGTTAGTTCCCAAAGAGCAGTAGAGGGACTGTTTCCAGAAGGTGAGTGAATACTGGGTGACAAAGTAAACACACAAGCAAAACAGAAATTCACTACAGTTCTCTCTGACCGCCCCATTTCTGCCTTCTTGCTCATGGTGATGCCATTGACCAAAGCTTAGAGCTGCAGGAAGAATGTTGATTCTGTGCAGGCTTTGAAAGGGGGACAAGTGGGACAGGACTCAGGGCTGGGAGACTGAGGTGACAGAAATCAGTCGAGGCCTCAACATCCAGGTGGATGAACCATCCAATAACCTGATCTCTCACTGTCTTCCCCTTTAAGCTTCATTCCAGTTGTTACTGCCATACCCTAGAACTACCAGGAATACATCTGCCTCTTGAAAAAATATGGCCTGATATTCCATCCTTTATCCTTCTTGTTTATGCTCTCAGTAGGCCAATTCTTCAACCAATTTAGAAACTACAAGCCACTTTAAGCTTTCTTCATGCCTTTTGTCTTCATTTCCTTCCTCTCCAAGGAAGACTTCATAGTGCATAATTAACCACACATTCATACAGCCCTACTCCAAATGGACTACCCCAATCTCCTTTTATGGTTCCTTCTTGGGAAGATCCAATTCTCTACCTTTACTAGACCTGCCTTCTACAAACAAGTTGATTTCTTTTGGATAAAATCACACAAGTTATTGATGCCACCATTAATTCATCATCTACAACTAATAGGCAGTCCTAATGCCGCATGAAAATAATGTACTCGATTCTTTAGTAATTATTTTGTGCCAGGCAGTGTTCTAGGCACTTGGGACACACCTGGGAGGAAACAAACCTCTCTGTCTTGTGGAGTATATATTATTGTTTGCTTAGACAATTCCCTTGCCTGTGGACAGCGAGTCTCCTATATACAAACCTTCAAGTTGCGAACTTTCAAAGATGTGAATGTGTGTTTCTAGGTCCAATCACATAAGTTAGCTCGTATGTCTGATGTACATGGACACATGCGCTCATTCCGAACAAGTGGTTGTGCTTTTGTGCACTTTACCGTACAGTACTGTAGAAAGTACAGTATCTTTACTTCAATTCCAGGATGTCTGGAAGTAAGTGTAAAAGCAGCAGTGAGGTACTGGTACATACGTGCCTTAGTTGGGCGTCTAGGCCAACTTTGTTGGACCAAGAACACATGGGGCCTACGAACGTGCTTTCCCAACAGAATTCGTCCATCTGTGGGGGCTTACTGTATTCAAAATTACCATTTGTCTTCCTAAACTTCTCCAGCCTCCTCACCCATTGGACCACTACAAGGGACAGAGAAGCCAACAGATGGGAACTTTTCATCATCACACTAAAAATTACCCAAATACCTTGAACTTCCATCCTTTGGCTCTTTCCTTCCTAGCATACTGAAGGAGGTTTCCCTCACCCGCCTTGATCCTGCCACGCTGTGTGACCTTTCTTTCCAATTCACCACTCACAGTGTGAGGAGACACTTGGCTGAATGCCCTGCCCTACAGACTGAGATCCTGTCTGCCTCATCACGGCTCTGTGCTCGGGATGTGGTCATTGACATCTCGCAGGGCTCGGCAATTTCCGGAGGAGTCGCCGAGCAACAGGTGAAAACGAGAGGGGAGGCCCCGCCCAGCGTTGCTCG